GTGGTGCTGGGGAAGAGTATTGAATGTACCATGGACTGCCAAGAAAACAAACAGAGTCATCCTGGAGAGGATTAAGCCAAGCAACTCCTTGGAGGCAAGGATTCTGGGGCTTCGTCTGATGTACTTTGGGCATGTTGCAAGGAGGGACAAGTCTTTGGAGAGGGACATCATGCTTGGTAGGGTGGAGGGACAGCGCAGGAGGGGAAGACCCTCTCTGAGGTGGATTGATTTATTGACTGGGGTAATCAGGATGGGTGTGTCAGGGGCAGTGCGATTGGCACATGATAGAGCAGGGTTTAGGGCTGTTGTACATAGAGTCGCTATGAATTGCAAACGACTGGACGGCACATAACAACATCAGAGAGCTGGACAATAAATAAGGGTGACAGAAGAAGAATTGATGCCTTTGAGTTGTGGTGCTAAAGAGTAATGAATATTAGACATAGATCAATGGTAATTATATAAAATACAATGAATAGGAATTCTTGTATAAAGTGCAATGTACCTGAACAAAACACAATATAAATCAAAGCTTGTATAAAACACAATATACATGCATTAAAAACAATGTATATGAATGGTTTTCTACAATTCAATAATAATATAGAAGGTAAAAAACAGTGAAAAGACAAAGGACAGACCAGGAAAAAGCATTTTCAGGAAATATGTATCTGATGAAAGACTCTAATATTCAAAAGAAAAAATTTAACTACCCAATAGCAAAAATAAAAAATGAGATAAAACACTTAAATTGATACTTTACAAAAGAGTATATAGTCAATTGGTCTGCAAATGCAGGGGGGGAAAATATTGTGACCTTTTACTAGTAAAAACCCCAAAAAAACCCAGCTCTAAAATTCAAGGATGAAGCACCTAAATGGAAAAATCGAAAACTACTGAGAACTGCAGTCTTCAGTATGGATTGAGGCTCAATATCAAGAAAACAAAGATTCTCACCACTGGGCTGATTGGCAGCATCATAATGGATGGTGAATAGATTGAGATTGTTCACAGTTTTGGTTTGCTTGGCTACACAGCCAGCACTCTTGGCACCAGCAGCCAGGAAATTAAAAGACATATTGCATTGGGAAGGCAGTTGGAGACCTCTTTAAAGTGCTGAAGTGCAAAGATGTCAGTCTGGAGACTAAGGTGCACCTGATACATGCCATGATCTTTGCAGTCACTTGCTATGCATCAGAGAGCTGGACAATGACTAGATGATAGCGGCTCTATGTACAACAGCCCTAAACTCTGCCCTACATTGTGCTAATCTCACTATCTCTGACACATCTACCCCCATTATCCCAGTAACGGAATCAATCCGTCTCCTGGAGGGTCTTCCTCTCCCGCTCTGTCTCTCTACATTCAAAGCATGACGTCAGTCTCCAAGTACTGGTCCCTCTTTGCAATATGTCCAAAGTATGTCAGATGAATCTTCAGAATCCTTGCCTATAAGGAGCAGCCCAGCTTCACCCTCTCCAGGACAAACCTGTTCACTCTCTTAGCAGTCTATGTTGTATCAGTACTCTTCTCCAACATCACAGCTCAAAGGCATCAACTCTCCTTCTATCATCCCTACTCATAGTCCACCTTTCTTTTCTTTTTTTTTTAATTTTACTGGGAAAAACATGTTGGTGATACAAGGAGGTGAGGGTTGGGAGCAGAAGGGTGAGGATGGGCAGGGATGAAAATTGCAGGGATGCAGTTGCAGAGCTGCACAGTTTGGTTGGTGGGGGAAACAGGTGAAGGAAATGAAAAAAGATCAGCGGGGACCAGATGATACAGGGTAATGGTAAGCATAGTCCAATGGTGATTAAACAAACTATCTTATTCATTTGTGGGTTTCTCATTTGGGAATTGGGCACAGACTCTCTGGCTTCTTCATGCTGAACAGGGGCATTGATGTAAAAGGGGAAAGGGAGCACACTCTATCAACTTACTGGTGGTCTTGGGTTAAAGCTGCTTGCTTTCTTGTTCTGTTAGAAGATATTTTCCTGACATGTACTCCCCTATGGACTGCAATGTGTTTTGCCAGGTGTGTCCAGTGGGTATGGCTGACTGAACCTGAGGCTCATCTCCTTTGCTTCCTTAGCTGGCAGTTGTATTTCCTTTTTGTCTCTGGAACTAGGTTCAGGGTCAGGTCTGGAGTAAAACTCAGTGTTAAGGTTACCTATAGGAAAGGGAGCAAACCTAGAGAGAACGAACTTGTGAGTTATAAATAGAAGGGCTTTGGGGGCGTTACTTATGGGTGTACTAGGGAAGAGGGTGGAGGAAAGTAGCCTAGATAAAATTCTCTGTATGCCCTAGGCAGTTTTTTCTACCCAGTGGTGGGATGGCACAACCTGAGGGCTGAGGAGCTCACCCCGAGGGCCAAAGATGGCTGGCCCCAAGCCGGGTGACACACCCTCGGGGCTGTCTGGCACACTCCCCCACCAAAATCCGCCCCCCCAGTCCGAACCCCTCTCCTGACCAAAGACCATGTGGCCAGGAACAGCATCCCCAATTCCATCACCACTACCTTTACCCCCCTCCCAATAAGTGGTCATACTGTAATTTGAAGTAGTTGTCATTGCCCTCCCCCTTTATAAATGGAGAAAGGAACCTGAGAGTGGTGAACAGACTCCCCCCAGGTCTAAACAGTTCTTGGCAGAGGCATTCAACAGATCAAAAGATGTGGTGCATTGAGGATATCTGCCATATTGGACATCCTGCCACTGTTAAGTGTCGTCAGGTCATAGACAGCTCACAGTAACTTTCATCAATCCATTGTATTCGTGATCTTCCTCTCTGACCTACCCGAGGAAACCCGAATCTGCAGCTAGGTCTCCCGCTGCCACCATTTTGGCTCCAAGAATTCTCCCCAGAACAGGTCCACTCTGCAGCAATGTGATGGCTCTGCTGCACCAGCCTGGGACGGGCGGGGCGCCGCTGCCTGCCACGTGGCCTTGGCAACAGGGGGCTGGGAGCTGTGAGACTCACCCATTCCTCTCTGGGAATCCTTGATCTCCTGATGTTGAGCCTCAGTCTGAACCGAAGATCAGTCGTTTACTGTTTTAACTGTTCAATTATCAATAAACGGAGGTCTGTAGAAAGCCGTGGTGGCGCTCCTCCAAGTGGTCCTCTGCTCCCGCAGTTCACCACACTGTCTCTGCCTCTGCCGCTGTCTTGGATCCCTAGTCCACCTTTCTTTGCAAGAACTTGCAAAAACCATGGCCCGTATCAGGCGCATCTTAGTTTCCAGATTGACATTGTTGCTCTTCAGTACTTTGGAGAGGTCTCTGACAGCAGACTTTCCCAATGCAAGACATCTTTTAAGTTTCTGGCTGCTGGTATCAATAGTGTTGAAACAGAGACAGTAAGATTGATACAAGATAGAGCAGGTTTCAGAGCTGCTATACATAGGGTCACTATGAGTGACAGGCAGCTTGACAGAATATAACAAGAATAACATTTACTGAAGATGGTTTTCCCCTGTGGAATAGAATTGACCCATTCCCTGTGGAATAGAATTGACCCATTGTTGAAAATTTATTGTCCATAAATTATGACATTTATTACTGCATTCCCAGTTTTTTCCTATTGGTCTATGTGTCTATTGTTGAATCAGTACCGGATTGTTTTTGTAACTGTAGCTTTTTTAGTGTTATAGGGAACGCTAGTAGCCTAGAGATAAGAAGCTGCATTGCCAACCCAGAGGACTGTGATTTGAATTCACCAGTTGCTCTGTGTGAGAAGGATGGACATTATCCTCCCATGCTGTTAACTGCCTCTGAAAACCTGCTAGAGGGTCCACTATGAATTATCAGTTACAACTTAGTGTTACAGAAAACCAACATAGTATGTTTTAGGGATAAGAACTGTGAGGGATGATACTTTGTTCTTCAATATTGCTTTGACTATTTCAGTTTGAAATTGTATAGTTTCAAGTTAACTGAGGCCCATTTGAGTTCCTTTTTGTGAAAAATAGATTTGTGTCTAGGCTCATGTTTCAGCGTATGAATGATTGTTCCAGGACAATATATATCTAGAAGACTATTCTTTCACTATTGAATTTCCTTTTCTCCTTTATATTTTTCTCATCAGTAACTTGATAGATAAAATTATTTATTTAGTTCTTTATTTCTTTACAGGAAGAAGAGAATTTATCCAAAGATTAAAACTTGAAGCAACCCTGAATGTGCATGATGGCTGTGTAAGTTATAGCTAATTGTCAACTATGAAGCACTTTAATAATAAATTTTCAAATGTTTGATGAAATGTTTGGATTCTTCAGAGGACATTGTGACTAACTTGAATAGCATGAGAAAAACACAAGACACTAAAAGAGAAAAAAGAGTATTTCCAAATTAGATAAAGTCCACAGGAGAATTTTTAAAATGTGAATATATATATTTATTTATTATTATTACCAAAAGGCTTCTATCTCTTTTACTTTCTTTTGTCACGGTAACTAGTTAATCTTCAAAGGTAATGGTCACCTATCTAAGATTTTAGTCATTGATTTGGTGTATCCTCTTATGTCACTTTTTTATCATGCCACTTTGTATTGATATTCTTCAATATTACTGGTTGATTACATCATCTCTGCTAAACTCTCTCTTCTACTTGGCCTTTAAAAACTCTCTATCCTGATATCTCCCACATCCCTCTTTTATCTATCTTCATATGATCCTATCTGGTCCCATGACTTTAAAAAGCGTGACAGTCATCACTTCTTGGAGCTCTCAAGGGTCACATGTTGAAATCTATATAAGATTCTAATAGCACATTAATATCCCCCTGACTTCAAGTCAGTTCTAGTTCTTAATGACACTCTATCGGGTTTTCAAGGCTGAAATCTTTGTAAGAGAAGACTGCCCATCTTTCACCTGTGTGATGTCTTCTGGAATGAAACTAATGAAAATTTTTCATCTTGCTTTACTGTTGAATTCGTTGTGTGAAGGTACCCCAGTTTCCGTAACTATTTATCTGCTGATGGTTACTTGGGTTGTTTCCGTTTCAATACTATTATAAATAATACTGTAAAGAAGAAGAATACTAAAATAATACTGTTGTTAGGTGCCATCAAATCATCAAAAGAGTACATATATTCATAGCAACTTTTTGAATAACAGGTCTACACCCTGTTCTATCTGGTGTAATAAATGTGGGTGTACATTTATCAATTTACACCTATATTTATATCACAGATACTATTTTCTAAGAATAAATACTAACTAACTAACTAACTAAGTAACTAACTAACTAACTAACTAACTAACTAACAGAATTGCTGGATCAAATGTTATGTCCATTTTCAGTCTTTTAAGGAAGCACCAGACAGACTTCTTTCCATAGTGGCTAAACTGTTTTTCCCACCAACATTGAAAACGAGTCCCAATCTCTCCACACTGTAGTCATCAGTTGTTTCTTGTTCTTTGAATTTTTCTGTTGTAGCTGGGCTGAAATGATAATTGTTTTGATTTGCCTCTCTCTAATCCAGAACATTTATTCATGTGTTTGTTGGCTATCTGAATGTCTTCCTTTTTTCGTGGTGTCTTCTTCTGGCTTTTTATTATGGTTATGCTTGCTTCATTGCATGAGTTTGATAGTATTTCCACTTTTTTCTCATATTCTGAAGTAGATTGAGTAGAATTGGTATCGTTGTTATTGTTGTTCTGTGCCATTGAGTTGCTTGCGATTCATAGCGACCCTAAGTCCAAGAGCTCTAAGTGTCGTTCTATCCTGTGCCAACCTAGCCATCTCAAATGCACTTACTCCCACCACTCCAGTCACAGAATTGATCCATCTCATCGAAGGTCTTCCTCTCCCTTGCTGCCCCTCCACTCTGCCAAACATGATGTCCCTCTCCAAGGACCAGTCCCTCCTTGCAACATGACCAAAGTATGTCAGACATACTTGATTCCAAGGAGCATTCCGAATTCACCTTCTCCAGGACAAACCTGTTTGTTCTCCTTGCAGTCCATGGAATACTCAGTACTCTTCTCCAGCACCACAGCTCAAAGGCATCAGTTCTCTTTCTATCATCCCTATTCACTGTCCAACTCTCTGATGCATAACACGTAATTGGAAAGACTATAGCCTGGATCAGGCGCCCCTTAGTCTCCAGCCTGATGTTGTTGCTCTTCAGTACTCTTGAGCGGTCCCTCACAGCTGACTTTCCCAATGCAATTCGTCTCTTGATTTCCTGGCTGCTGTTACCAAGATTGTGGAGCCAAGTAAACTGAAACTGTTAGCTCTCTCAATCCCTTCACCATCCATACTGATGCTGCCAGTTGGCCCAGTGGTAAGAATCTTTGTTTTCTTGAAGTTGAGCTTCAATCCATATAGGAGGCTGCAGTCCTTGTCCTTCTGCAGCAAGCACTTCAGGTCCTCCTCAGTTTCAGCAAGCAGGGTTGTGTCATCTGCATAACTCAGATTGTTGATGATTCTTCCACCAATCCTGATGCCACATTCCTCCTCGTTTGGTAGAGTATACCAGTGAAGCTATCAGGCCTAGATTTTTGTTGTTGTTGTTGGAATAATGACTTGTTTCATTTTCTTTTTCTTTGTGTGTGTGATAAGTCTGTTCAAAGAGTTTCTATAAATGTGTCAATTTTGTCTAGGTTTTCAAATTTGGGTATAATTCTTCATAAAATTCTGTTCTTATTTTTATTTCATTTTATTCTTTTGAAACATCACTCATTTAAATTCTTATTCGTGTTATTTGTGTCTTCTTTTTCTTTATTAGATTTGCCAGTGACCTGTCAAATTTTTTAAAATATTTTTTATTTTTTTAGACTTTATTATTATTATTATTAATTTTAATGAAAATTTACAGAGACTTTGGATTCATTCATTGTTGTACTTTTTCCCCCTCCCAGCCCTCCCCCACAATACACTCCCCTCTTGGAAAAGTAAAAGAAAAATTCTTTGATTGTTTTACAATCCCTCTGCCAGATCCACTCCACCATGCAGCCTTCTTTCTGTATTCCTATCATGACAATAATACCTAATCACATATCTCTTTTAAACAGTTTTCTCCCTCATCTGTTTCAGTCTTTCTCAGTCTCCCCCCAACCCTGATGTCAGTCCTGTTTGACAACAGTGGCACTATGCAGTATTTTTAATTTTGTGACTGAGATTCAGAATAATGTCCTCCAGTATCACCCATTTTGAATAATATTTCATGAGTTCCTTGTTTTTCAATGCAGTGTGTGAATTCCATTGTGTGAATATACCACAGCTTCTCTATCCATTCGTTTTTTGATGGGCACTTAGGTTGTCTCCAACTCCTTGCTATTGTGAACAAAGCCTCAGTAAACATGAGTGTGCATATATTTGCTTGGGTGACAGGTAAGGTCTCTTTGGGGTATATTCCCAATAGTGGAATTGCTTGGTCAGATGATATCTCTATTTGCAACTTTTTGAGAAAGCACCACACCACGTTCCACAGTGGTTGCACCATTTTATACTTCCACCAACAGTGAATAAGGGTTCCTATTTCTCCACAACATCGCCAGCATTTGTTGCTTGCTGTTCTGTTAAATTTTGTTATTCTTACTGGGGTGAGATGATATCTCATAATTGTTTTGATTTGCATCTCTCTTAGAGCTAGGGATTTTGAACATTTTTTTCATGTGTTTTGTTGGCCATCTGAATGTCTTCTTTGGTGAAATGTCTGTTCATATCCTGTGCCCATTTTTCAATTGAAAATATTTTTTATTATACGGAGACTGGATTTCCATTCATTCATGTTGCACTTTACTCCCTGCCTAACCTCCCCTCAAGTTTGCTCTTCTCTTTGAAAAGTAAAAGAAAAATTCTTTCATTGTTATACAATCCCTCCCCCAAATTCACTCCACTATGCAGCCTTTGTTCTGAACTCCTTTCATGACAATAATAGCTAATCATATATCCATTTTAAATAGTTCTCTCCCTCATCTGTTTCAATGCAGTATATATAATTTATCCCCATTTTTCTGTCTCTCCCCAATCCCGAAGTCAGTACCATTTTACAACAGTGGCACTATGCAATATTTGTCCTTTTGTGAATAAGGTGGTTCAGTCAGCATAATGTCCTCCAGGGCCAACCATTTTGAATAATATTTCATGAGTTCTTTGTTTTTCAAAAAAAGTGTAGTATTCCATTGTGTAAATAAACCAGAGCTTCTCTATGCATTTGTTTGTTGATGGGCACATAGGTTGTTTCCAACTCTTTACTATTGTGAACAAAGCTACAATGAACATGAGTGTGCATATATCTGCTTTGGTAGCAGTAATGGTTTCTTTAGGGTATATTCCAAGTAGTGGAATTGCTGGGTCAAATGATATTTCTATTTGCAACTTTTTGAGAAAGTGCCACACCGCCTTCCACAGTGGTTGCACCATTTTACACTTCCACCAACAATGAATAAGGGTTCCAGTTTCTCCTCAACCTCACTAGCATTTGTTGTTTGCTCTTCTGTTAAATTTTGCTATTCTGACTGGGGTGCACTAGGGATTTTGAACATTTGTTCTTGTGTTTGTTTATCTTGTGCCCATTTTTCAGTTGGGTTGTTTACCTTTATCTTGTTGTGGTGCTTGAGTATTTTATACATTCTAGATGTAAGTTCCTTATGTCATTACCAAATACTTTTTCCCAGTCAGTGGTTTCCCTTTTCACACTGTTGGAGAAGTTTTTGGATGTGCATAGGAATTTTATTCTTAGAAGGTCCCATTCATCCTTTTTATCCTATCCTGGTTGTAGATTTTTCAGGATTCTTGGAAGACTGTTTACGCTGTGGATTAGGACTTCTAGAGTTCTTCCAAGCTTTTCTTTAATGAAGTTTTTAGTCCTTGGTTTTAGTCCTAGAGTCCATCATCCACCTTGAATTGGTTTTTGTATATGGAGTGAAGTGTGGCTCTTGCTTGAATTTTCTGCAGATAGTTTTCCAATTTTGCCAATACCATTTGTTAAAAAGACTGTCATTTTCTCACTTAACTGATTTCATCTCCTTGTCAAAAATCAGTTGACCATAGAGATGGGCTGGTCTCTGGATTCTCAATTCTATTCCATTGATCTATGTGTCTTTCTTTGTACCAGTGCCACACTGTCTTGACCAGCAGGGCAGTGTAGAAGGTTTGAAATCAGGGAATGAGATGCCTTTTACCTTGTTTCTATTTTTAAGGAGTGCTTTGCTTATTGGGGGCTTCTTTCCATTCCAAGTGAAA